CTAAATGATTTGTTTTTACCGACAATATGTTCATCAAATTTCTTAAAGTCTACCTTTCTTTATTCAACTTTCCTATTATCCTGACGTATCCTTTTTGCTTCTTCTGTTTCTTCAACTTCTTCATTCTTTTTTCTTCTTCATGCTTTTTTCTAGCTTCTTCTTGTTTCTTCTTTTCAAGCTCTTTTTCTTCTTCTGCTTGCTTGTTCTTTTTCTCGCTCTTTTTCTTCCTTTTTCTTGCTTCTTCTTCTTGTTTCTTCTTTTTCTGCTTCTTCTTGCTCTTGTTATTCATCTTTTTGCTTCTTGTCAATGTCTGTGGCTTAGGCAAATGAGCTTCCTAATGCCGAGGTGTCGGGTTCGATCCCAGCTGCGGACGGTTTATCTTGCGCTGGTTTCATCAGTGGTACCGACAGCTGACCGTGCAGTAAGCAATGGCAAACTACTGACCGTAGAGTTTGCCTTGAAAAACCACAATAGTACAAAAATGCTGGAGTTTGTTCTGCAATGCCCTGTAAAGGATATGCAACTAACTTGCTTCTTATTCCTTATTTGCCCTCAAAAGGATGTTTGACACGCTGTGTTGTGGTTTACAGCTAAGCAACGATATCAGCGTCTTTCGGCCAGACAGAACAGATTTAAAATTCGTCTTAGTCACCTTAAAAAACAACATGATTGTTGGGGGGAGTTTGATTATAGGAAAAGGGGTGGGGGGGGGGGAAGAGCTAAACTATATGTTTCCCTTTAATATCATGTTGAGAAAGGTGGAGACAGGCATGCTTCGTGCAGAGTGGCAAGCATCACTTCAAAGGTCCCAGGTAGATAGCATATTTTGGATATTTTCTCCATGTCATGCCGGTGTGTTGGGAAAATGAGCAGGCAGATGGACTAGCCGGTTCTGCGCAACTTGGTGGTGAACTGAGTATGACAAGCTGGGTATTGTGAGGGACTTTTGGGAGCGAGTGATGAGGCACAGATTACGGTCTGAACAGAATGGCACTGCGAGGAGTTACAAAGGGATCTGACCGACGCTCGATACTCAGGGGGAAAGGTGAGACGGATACACAATCAGACAATTACTGGTACCATCGGGATTATAACTCTTCGCTTGCTGCTGAAGATACGGACGGAGAGCTTATGAGGGTATGTGATGTCGATTCTTAATTCAACATTCAACATTCTCTTTAAAATGAGCCCAGAAACCCACAGGGGGGATTTCCTGTAGTTAAAGTTAAGCCTACGCCCCTGCACAAAACTGACCTCGAACCGAAGACCGCTAAGACAAAAGCCCATAAGAGCGCGATAAGCGAAGGTTAGGTTCTGTTTTAAAAAGCTCTAAACAATTAAATTATCAAGATTAGCCCCATCACTCTACTACACGGCCTATTCTTGGATCTATAATTATCTCCCTTACACGCCAGCGTGCACTAAACTTGAGGGAGCAGTGGTTCTCAGAGCTGGCCCCACTCAGGGGAGGCCTTGTCATATTTCTACTACATTCAATTAACCCTTTCTGCACCATACATCACATCTGGGGAGACTCACGGGAGGGGAGAGGGAGGGGGGGGGGAGAACAGACCCACACCTACTTGAACAAGTATGCGTAACAGATGAATAATTAAGTGTGGCTCCGGTGCCTTCCTATGGGAAAGACAAGAACTGACCCCCTGCCTCCCCAGCAAGCATGTCGTAAGAGTCGACCTAACTGGGAGCTTCCTTTAAGTTCGGAGTACATCTGCCCAAGAGGCAAGGAACTAACAATCTGCAGACAAAAAAGTCAGAGTGTAAAACGCATGTGCAGGCAACACACAGGTTCTGGAACCAGACTAAAGTCCTGAGGTAGCCAAACAACCAGAACCTTCCGCCGGAGTTTCCAGCCAGGTGAACGCAAAGTAGAAGAAGTGCCAGTTGAAATTGGATAATTTGGGGGAGGGTGGGGGGGGGCGAAGCCGCAGATATCACAGCTTATCTATAAATCACAAATCCGCTATGGTAATAGGGCAGTGTATCACACGCCTAGTCTTTTCTCATCAACCCCCCCCCCCTCCCCCTCCCCCCTCCCATTAAAAAAAAAATTACAGACACAATGGGGACGAGTGTCAGAAACAGACTGAGAACCCCTGGCATCCAACAACTAAGCTACAATACAGAAGACGGTAGCGTGTGGGGGAAAAAGGGGGGGGGGAGTATAGCAAAACTCTTGGTTAAAGAGATTATTCTGTAACTTCCGTAGGGACCTCTTTGTTTTCAGCCCTTATCCGAAATACTGGAGATAGCAGATAGCAATCATTACCCGGGCGATCATGGTGAGAAATGGTATCATCACAACTATTTGGAAGATACAGGTAGTTAGGTAGTTGGTTTCTTCAACAAGTGCAGTCCCCATGTTTAACACTTCAAGAGGCTGTATATGGTCGTGATGACATCGGCCGTGCTGGGTCGAAAGGCCGTAGATATCGCAATCTATTTGTATATCACAACACAACGTGCCAACCGTCTTTCTACGGACAAGAAGAGGAAAAGGAAGAAAAAGAAGAAGAGGAAAAAGGACGGCAGCAGCAGCGGAAGGAGAAGAAAAGGAAGAAGAATAAGAAGAAGAAGAAGAAGAAGAAGAAGAAGAAGAAGAAGAAGAAGAAGAAGAAGAAGAAGAAGAAGAAGAAGAAGAAGAAGAAGAAGAAAAAGAAGTAGGAGGATGAAAAAGAAAAAAGAAGAAGAACGACGAGGAAAGGATGGAGGGGGGGGGGAGAAGAAGGCGATGAAGAAGCAGACGATGACGATGTGTAGCAGTGACACATGGAAATATGAGAATGGATGAAGAAGAAAAGACATGGTACACAACAAGATATTAGTTAACATCGCCGAAAACTGGCCCAGAACATCATCATGTCTGAAAGAAATATTTTAGCCACATAAAAATCCTCAATTTAGAAAGACCAGTAATTAAACGACATTAGTAAAGCAATCAAGGAACCATTTAAAACGGACTCTTGGCGTCGGTGGCTAAGACTATGCTTCGTAATTACGGGTTGCTGGATTCGAACCCAGATGCCAGCCATTTAGCAGCAGACATTCTTGCGTTGGTTTCGACGATGGTACCGAAAGCCAACCATTCAAAAATCAATGACAAACTACTTAACGAAACAAATAAATGCCTAGTGTAATCACAAACAGCCAAAGACAATGCTGGAGTCGATTCTGCAACGTCTAGAATGGATACTCAATGAACCTTTAACCCAGCAGCGAAACGGGTCACCTTCGCATCGGGCATCACAGTTTTATAGACCACCTGGTACTGGATGGGTGATGTGGGCAACATCTTGACGGTCGCCTTTACTTCCCAGGATGCAACTCGTTACCTACTGCTTCTGGTAGCCAAAGGTAATATATTAATTATTTTAAATTAAAATTAAAAAAAACAATGCGAATTGATGCCTGCGGATCGGACGATTGTGGGTTCGCGCCCAGATGGAGGCAGACTTTTTTTCAAAAAATGACTCATAGGTCGACCCAGCCTTGAGTGGGTACCCGGTGCAGTCCTGGGAAGTAAAGGCTGCCAGCGTAATGCTGACTACATCACCCACCAAGTGACGCTTAGTCTATGCAAATATAGATTTAATCCTATATTCCCAGTGCGCCTAAAGGCGAGGAAGGGGACCTTTACGTTTACTTTATGCAAGCCAGCGAACGATAAGGACGTGGCCCTCGGTCAGTGGTGGACATAGCACTCTGTCAGTGGTGGACGTGGCCCTCGGTCAGTGGTGGACATAGCACTCTGTCAGTGGTGGACGTGGCCCTCGGTCAGTGGTGGACATGGCACTCGGTCAGTGTTGGCTGTGGCCCTCGGTCAGTGGTGGACATAGCACTCAGTCAGTGGTGAACATGGCACTCGGTCAGTGTTGGCTGTGGCCCTCGGTCAGTGGTGGACATGGCACTCGGTCAGTGTTGGCTGTGGCACTCAGTCAGTGGTGGACATGGCACTCGGTCAGTGTTGGCTGTGGCCCTCGGTCAGTGGTGGACATAGCACTCAGTCAGTGGTGGACGTGGCCCTCGGTCAGTGGTGGACATGGCACTCGGTCAGTGGTGGACATGGCTCTCGGTCTGTGGTGGACGTGGCCCTCGGTCAGTGGTGGACATAGCACTCGGTCAGTGGTGGACATGGCACTCGGTCAGTGGTGGACATGGCACTCGGTCAGTGGTGGACATGGCACTCGGTCAGTGGTGGACATGGCACTCGGTCAGTGGTGGACATGGCACTCGGTCAGTGGTGGACATGGCTCTCGGTCAGTGGTGGACATGGCTCTCGGTCAGTGGTGGACATGGCTCTCGGTCAGTGGTGGACATGGCACTCGGTCAGTAGTGGACATGGCACTCGGTCAGTGGTGGACATGGCTCTCGGTCAGTGGTGGCTTTGGCACTCTGTCAGTGGTGGACATGGCTTTCGGTCTGTGGTGGACGTGGCACTCGGTCAGTGGTGGACATGGCTCTAGGTCTGTGGTGGACATGGCACTCGGTCAGTGGTGGACATGGCTCTCGGTCAGTGGTGGACATGGCACTCGGTCAGTGGTGGACATGGCTCTCGGTCAGTGGTGGACATGGCACTCGATAAGTGGTGGACATGGCTCTCGGTCAGTGGTGGCTGTGGCACTCTGTCTGTGGTGGACGTGGCACTCGGTCAGTGGTGGACATGGCACTCGGTCAGTGGTGGACATGGCTCTCGGTCTGTGGTAGACATGGCTCTCGGTCTGTGGTGGACGTGGCACTCGGTCAGTGGTGGACATGGCTCTCGGTCTGTGGTGGACGTGGCACTCGGTCAGAGGTGGACATGGCACTCGGTTAGAGGTGGACATGGCACTCGGTCAGTGGTGGACATGGCACTCGGTCAGAGGTGGACATGACTCTCGGTCAGTGGTGGACATGGCTCTCGGTCTGTGGTGGACGTGGCACTCGGTCAGTTGTGGACATGGCACTCGGTCAGTGGTAGACATGGCACTCGGTCAGTGGTGGACATGGCTCTCGGTCAGTGGTGGACATGGCACTCGGTCAGTGGTGGACATGGCTCTCGGTCAGTGGTGGACATGGCACTCGGTCAGTGGTGGACATGGCACTCAGTCAGGGGTTCACATGGCACTCGGTCAGTGGTGGACATGGCACTCGGTCAGTGGTGGACATGGCACTCGGTCAGTGGTGGACATGGCACTCGGTCAGTGGTGGACATGGCACTCGGTCAGTGGTGGACATGGCACTCGGTCAGTGGTGGACATGGCACTCGGTCAGTGGTGGACATGGCACTCGGCCAGTGGTGGACATGGCACTCGGTCAGTGGTGGACATGGCACTCGGTCAGTGGTGGACATGGCACTCGGTCAGTGGGAGAAGCACAAGGTTTCATGGCATGCAGGGTCAAGCAATTTTTCATTTACATTTTAAACGTGGTGTAGTGGCTAGACGCTCGCACGCGAATTAGAGGGTCATGGTTTCGGGTCCTGAAAGAGCCAGACTTTTTTTTCTTCTTCAAATTACCTTAGCTCTCATGTCGACCCAGCCGTCACTGGGTAAAAGGTACAGTCCTGGGAAATAAAGATGGCAGGCGTGATGCTGACGTCATCACCCACCAAGTGATACATCTAAAGGTGTGGGAAACGGATCTCTTTTTAATTATAAATAAAATATTTTCAAAACTATATATGATAATAGAAAAACCAGGAATGTTATGGAATTTGACACTCTGTTTCGTGGATGGGTAATAGTGCTTGGGTCTTTTCCCTTTACGCTCCTCTTTTTAACCATTTGTTTAAGTCGGGGGTGGGGGCTGTTGCCATACAGATCGGCTGGTGGAAAGTTCTGATTGTTCGTCTACTTCTGAACTGCAGCCCTGTTCCAGAACCTGAGTGTTGCGTGTGCATCCGTTTGACAGATCTGACACATGTGTGTGCAGACTGTTGGTTCCTTGCCTCTCAGGCAGATGCACTCCGACTTTGAAAGAAGTTCCCAATTAGTCGACTCTTGCGACATGCTTTTGGGTAGGCAGTGGGTCTAGTCTTGTTTTCCCTATAACAGGGCCCCGGAACCCACACGGGGGTACAGAATAATGATTACCAGGCCCAACCTTGCAGTCTACAAACCGCAGATGGACACCAAAGCTTCTCAGCCACGCCACGCCACTCCGCCATGGAGATGACCAATCATGACCTGTCACGTGATCAATGAAATGATAAATTTAACACCGACAACAAAGGACAGTATTCTGCGCGTTGACAATAAATACATAATCAATACAGGTAATCTCTGAACACTATTGTCATAAATAGAAATGTTAAACCCTGCATGGCAAACAGCTTTTCCATAGTGTTGCATAGGGTTGTTATCTCTCTCTCTCTCTCTCTCTCTCTCTCTCTCTCTCTCTCTCTCTCTCTCTCTCTCTCTCTCTCTCGTGCTTTATTAATATCCTACCCCAAACAGGGAAAATCCACAGGTCACGGGACAGTCTAATATTTCAGGGGATGGTAGATAGGCTGTATGCAGGCGTGGGACCTAGGCTGTATGCAGTCGTGGGACCTAGGCTGCACTCTCTCGTGGAACGTAGGTGGGTTGGGGTTAGGGTCGTTCAAAGCATCAGAAAGCCGGAAACCCAGTCTTACCACCCTCTAAAATGTTTGACTGTCCTTTGACGTGACCTGGGGTAGGATATTAATAAAGCACCCCCCCCCCCTTCTCTCTCTCTCTCTCTCTCTCTCTCTCTCTCTCTCTCTCAGACACATATGAATACAGTATACACACGCGAACACTCACACACACGCGAACACTCACACACACGCGAACACTCACACACACGCGAACACACACACACACGCGAACACTCACACACACGCGAACACACACACACGCGCGAACACACACACACACGAACACTCACACACACGCGAACACACACACACACGCGAACACACACACACACACACGCACACTCACACACACGCGAACACACACACACGCGCGAACACTCACACACACGCGAACTCACACACACGCGAACACTCACACACACGCGAACACTCACACACACGCGAACACACACACACACACTCTATGAACGTCGCCTGCGGATCGGAAGGTCGTGGGTTCGGGTCCAGACAGAGCCGCGCTTTTGATTTTATTTTTCACGAATGACCTTGGCCCCTAAGTCGACCTTGAACTGAGTAGATACCAGGCACAGGTCACGGGAAGTAAAGGCGACCGGTGTGATGCTGACCACATAATCTACCAAGTGCCGATCGGCCTATAAAATATAGATCTAACCCTATATGCCCAAAAAAGCATGAAAAGGCCTGTAAAGGGTCCATTGTTTCTTCCTAAACTATGTCCGTATATATTTATTTTGCTGTATTGCTTCCTCCATCTTCGTGTGTTTTTATCTCCCTATCTTTTCTTCCTCACACACACACACACACACAAACGGATAGACAGCAGAACCAGGGGCTTAGACCCCTTCAGCCAACCTTCCCTTTACAAGAATTATTTGGGGAAGGAAAGGTACCCCCCACCCCCCCCCCCCCCCCAACCTCTTTTCCGAAAATTGGTAAGATTCTCACAATATTACTACATTCTAAGACCTCTTTCTGTACCCGTTCATGACTTCATGCCTTCAGAAAGCTACTCAGGGAACTCGCAGATGACGGCTTCACAGTCGGTTTAGTCAGACGTGTCGAACTAGCAGCGCGCGAGTCACATGCGGCCCTTTGAACGCGCACCTAAAGAAAATACTATGTAATATTATTTATTAACTCACTTCAATTAGTCGTCGTGGACACGAAAATGACTCGTATGCTCCTCGGGGAGACCTTCAGTTTGACGTTTCTGGTGTAGAGAGTAAGTAAACGACCCTTATTAGGCCAACGGCGAATGTAGCATAAAATGCTAAACTACAATTTGTATAGACATAATCAGCACTCAGTGGGTGATGTGGTCAGCATCATGCCGGCCGCCTTTGTATCCAAACACAGGACCTAGAACCCACTTTGGGCTGGGTCGACCTGGGAGCCAAGGTCAACTGTGAAGGAAAATATCCAACTCGATGCGGCTTTGAACCCAAGACCTTCATTACGACAGGCGAACCAAAAGGTTGTGCCCTTGCACCCTTCCGTCTTTCTGTTGTCTACTGTGTCCTCTTACTTCGACTTGTTACCCGCAGCCTCTGTAAATGCCGATCAATACGTGAGAGTTTATATCTCGTGTAATCGCAATAAACGTGTGTTATTCAATATTGATTCCCTTCACAGCTACCACTTCTCGCCGTGTATTCACGGGTACGTGCTCCGACTACACTTACTAGAATCGCCGTTTCGATACTCTACCACAGGGATTTTCAACTTCTGATGAGAGAGCATGCGTTAACTTTTTCTTTTTCTTTTTCTTCTTCTTCGTCTTCTTCTTCTTCTTCTTCTTCTTCTTCTTCATCTTCTTCTTCCTTTTCTTTTACAGCAATCCGAGCACTTTGGAGTTTAGGTTTACTGCTGCCCTGTGATTGCCTTCCTGTTTCAGCTGCCGATTCCAAGTGTTTCTAGGTTTGTCTGAATACTGGCCTACAGCAAGCATTTTCATCTTCTGACAACAGAGCACCAGTAACTTCTTCTTCTTCTTCTTCTTTTTCATCATCATCACCATCATCATTCCGAACCTTTGAGGTTTACTGCTGCTTTGTCATGGGCGTTATTTTCTCAGTTGCCGGCTTCAAGTGTTTGCAGGTCTGCCTGGATGTTATACATCCACTGTCTTCTTTGTCTGCTTCGTGCTCTACTCCCATTCAACTCTTTTGTGTAAGCAGTTTTTGCCCTCTGTTTTCGGCAACCTTCTCTAAATTCCCTAACCTTTGTAATATGTCACCATCAACTTTCATAGCTATGACAACGAGCGTTGTGCCGTTAAGATTTGATTTGATTTAAGAACCAACAACACAGCACTCGGGGCATTCCCATAAGCGCCCCGTCCTTATCTTTAGCAGCCAGCGAAGAGTTCCGATACTAATGGTGCCAGTGGCGTTCTGATTAAACGTCCGTCTTGCCTTTCCTCTGAGCCTCGAGCATCTGCCAGAACCTATCGTCACTCCCAACTCTATCAATCTTACCACACTGTGGTGATCAATCTGCTCCTCCGCACTGTACAAACGCTCCCACAAGGAGCTAGCTACGTCTACCTTATCATGCATTAGTATTCCCCCAAGCTGTGCAGAGCCAGCCAGTCTGTCTGTTCATTTCCCAACACACCGGCATCCCTGGTGAAAAAAAAATCGAGACAATACTCCTCACTCGCGTCCTCCGTAGCGAGGCATGCCACTCTGCACGAAGCATGCCTGTCCTGATCTTCCTCAGCATGCTTTCTGAATCAGTTACAATCACGATGTGTGTGTGTGTGTGTCCTGTTCTCTAGCCAGTGGAAAGCTGCAGTGACAGCCTCCACCTCCACTGTGCGTGCCGTTTAGAAAGCAATGGCAAACTACAGACAGTAAAATTACTCAATAAAACCAGAAAAACGTAAGTAAAGGGTACCGTTGGTTTGCTATCACTGTGAGTCTCAAATCGTTTATGTTTACCAAGCAAATGTATTCACATTGATTTGCATACTATGGCATTAATAAATGCAGATTGTTAGAAAATGTTGCAGGCGGACACAAACTACGCTAGTTATCAGAGAAAATACCGCTAACTTTCTTTTGCAAGGTTAAATGCGTATCCTTTACAGGACGCTGCAGAACCAAACCCAACAGCCCCTGGTTGTTGTGTGGTTTTTCTAGGCAAATTTACGTCCAGTAGTTTGCCACTGCTTTCTGGACGGTCGGCTTTTTTGACACCACTGTCGAAACCAATGCAAGGCGCGTGGTCCGCAGCTGGAATGGAACCTGGCATCCCGGCATTACGAAGCGTTCGCATCGACTTAGCCACAGAGCCGACTTCTTTTGCAAGAGAGCTTATAAAATACAAATTGTGTGACCGACTATCGGGTAAAGTAAAGCACCCTTTCCTGCACCTTCAGACCTATTGGGAATATAGGGCTAGACCCTAATTGTATAGACCAGTCGGCACTTGGTGGGTGTTGTGATCAACATCACACCGCCCGTCTTTACTTTCCAGGACTTTCTTGGTACCCATTTAAGGCTAGGTCGACCTGTGAGTCAAGGCCATTTCTGAAAAAAAAGTCCGGCTACGCCATGAACTCAAAACCCAAGACCTTTAGAACAGCAGGCAAAGGCCTAGCCGCTGCACCACGGCAGCTCGCTCCGATTAACGGATGAGCAGGACAAATTCCAGACATCCAGTCTTTAACAGCTACCCCAGACCAGGGCTGCCAATGGGGTTTTTATCAAATCCCAAGCTAAGCTGGCCAAAAAACCCAGTAATACAGAAACAAAGAACAATAAACAAAAACAAAAACCC